GTAGTACAAGAGTAGATCTACCACGAGATCAAGGAGGCTAACCCTAAAAGCTAGCCTATGGTATGATTGTTGTATGATGAAGTTGTCCTACGGACTAAAACCCTCCAGTTTATATAGACACCGGAGAGGGTTAGGGTTATACAAAGTCGGTTACAATGATAGGAGATCTTGAATATCCGCATCGCCAAGCTTGCCTTCCACGCCAAGGAAAGTCCCATCCAGACACGGGACGGAGTCTTCAATCTTGTATCTTCATAGTCCTGGAGTTCGGCTAAGGGTATAGTCCGGCTACCCGAACACCCCCTAATCCAGGACTCCCTCACTCGTTACAAATTATCTCATCACAAAATTATCCGTTACCACTTATTCCAGTACTTGCAGAGAATACCTTGCTGAAAACCATTTATCATTTCCTTCTGCTTCTCGTTGGGTTTGACACTCTTACTTATCGAAAGGACTACGATAGATCCCCTATACTTGTGGGTCATCAGTTGTCAATCCCCTTGTACTTGTTAATTGCAAGGATTAAATCTTACAGTGGTAGATAGATAAGATAAAAGGAAAATAAAAGTAAATAAATTACAACAAATATTTTTAGGGTTTTAGTAAATATAAAGTGAATGGAGCATGGGGGCATAGCGTTCACTAGAGGCATCTCTCTCATAAGCATAGCAACAATGGGTAAACAAATTACTGTTGGGCAATTGATAGAGTAGCGCGTAGTTATGATGATTCTTCATGGCATGATCAATATATAGGCATTACGTCCAAGACAACTAGACTGACATCCATCTGCATCTACTACTATTACTCCACCCCAAGACCGCTATCCATCATGCATCTAAAAGTATTAAGTCCATAACAAATAGAGTAATGCCTGAAGCATGATGACATAATGTAGACAAAGCAAGACCAAATAATATGTTCGAGCCCCATCGTTTTACACTTAGTAGCAACAATACAAAAACATTTCTCGCAACTCCTCCTGACACAAAGTAAGGACACAACAAGATTGAACCTACCACCAAGCACCTCCCCACTGAAGATAAATAAATCTAATTGGTTGAAAGAGATAGATAGACCGGAGAGAAATACAAGGCTATAAAATCTACATAAATAAAACTCAGAAAAGACTCAAATACTTTTAATGAATAATCTGATCAAACCCATAATTCATCGTATCCCCAACAAACACACCGCAAAAGTTTACATCAGATTGATCTCAGTGAGATCATTGTATTGAAGATCAAGAA